ATCCAGGCTCATCTGGGGAATTACAGGGAAAGCTCTGGTTTTATAAAAAATATTGATTTCTATTGATTTTATTGATTTCAGAGAGGGAGAGAGTGAAGCATCAATGATGAGAGAGAATCATGGATCGGCTGTGCCCTGCATGCCCCCTACTGGGAAATAAACTTGCAACCCGGGCATGTGCCCTGACCTAGAATTGAACCGTGACCTCCTGGTTCATAGGGTGATGCTCAACCGCTGAGCCATGCCGGCCAGGCAAAAGCTCTGATATTAAGCGGGGGACTTCCTCGATAGGCCTCGCATATGAAAACATACAAGAAACATTCCGTCGCAGCAGGTTAGACAAGTGTGTGCCCTCCTGGCTGAAGCCTGGCACAAGATGTCTGCTGCCTGCTTTTCTTGGTCCTAGATGCTGAGAGAGAGTGTCAGTGCCTTGCCGTGTTCTTTCCTCCCTCCCCCAGCAGGAGTAACTGGCCCCGTGACCATCAATGGCACCCTCCTGAAGGGATTCACTATCTATTCTCTGGAAATGAAGATGAGCTTCTTTGAGAGGTATGTTCCCTCTTATTCCCGGGAGACTTGGAAGGATCAGGGCACTCAGAGATTTCTTCTTCTTCTTCTTTTTTTTAAAAATATATATTTTATTGATTTTTTATAGAGAGGAAGGGAGAGGGATAGATAGTTAGAAACATCAATGAGAGAGAAACATCCATCAGCTGCCTCCTGCACACCCCCCACTGGGAATGTGCCCACAACCAAGGTACATGCCCTTGACCAGAATCGAACTTGGGACCCTTCAGTCCGCAGGCTGATGCTCTATCCACTGAGCCAAATGGGTTAGGGCCACTCAGAGATTTCAAACTCTGCACTTTGCAGGCGAAGAGCCCAAGATTCTGAGAACAGAAGTGATTTACTGAGGATGACAGAGTCTTTAGAGTCAGGACTGGAGTCCTGGAACAAGCCTCCTGTTTCTCATTTTAATGCTTCACATCTGAGTGTCCCATGGAAACAGAGCCCTAGTCTCTGCGTGGGAAACCCGGGTCCATTCTGGGGCTAGTACCGGGAAAGGGCTTTCCTCTCCCTCAAGGCGTGACCCCTTCCCAGGCTTCACTCTGCTGCCTGGAGGCCAGTCTCCAACAGCCCCTTGGGCCCCGCCTTCTACCTGGGCACCCTGCAGGTGTCTCCCAGGGACACCTTCCTGAGGCTGCCGGAAAGTAAGCCCCTCTTCTCTCTGCCCTCTCAACCACCTATTCTTTCTTTTAAAATTTTCTTCATGTGTTCATTTGTTTTTCTTCTATTACACCTATTCTTTCTTTTAAACAATTTTTATTTTATATAGTTTATTGATTTTTTTTACAGAGAGGAAAGGAGAGGGAGAGAAAGTTAGAAACATCGATGGGAGAGAAACATCCATCAGCTGCCTCCTGCACACCCTTTACTGGGGATGTGCCTGCAACCAAGGTACATGCCCTTGACTGGAATCAAACCAGGGGCCCTTAAGTCTGCAGGCCAGCACTCTATCCACTGAGCCAAACCTGTTAGGGCATAGCTACTTTTTCTTAAAGAGCCTTGAAGCAAAGCCATAGTGTTCCAAACATCTAGCATTGCTCAATCTTTCTAATTCACTATCATTGTTCAAACTATTGCCCATGGAGAGAGGGGTTGGAGAACTGGGTGGAAAAGGTGAAGAGGTTAAGAAATAGAAATTGGCCCCAGCCAGTTTGGCTCAGTGGATAGAGCGTCAGCCTGCAGACTGAAGGGTCCCAGGTTCGATTCCAACCAAGGGCACATGGCCAAGTTGTAGGCCCAATCCCCAGCAGGGGCGTTCAGGAGGCAGCCAACCATTGATGTTTCTCTCTCTCTCTTCCTCTCTGAAATCAATAAAGAAATATATTTAAAAAAAAATAGAAATTGGTAGTTACAGAATAGTCACAGAGATGTAAATTATAGTCTAGGGAATGTATTTGGTAATATTGTAGTAACTATGTATGGGGCCAAGTGGAGACTTTAAATATTGGGATGAGGGAAACTTTATAAAACATGAGATCGTCTAACCACTGTGCTGTATCCATGAAACTGATATAAACTAATATTAAGTGTAAACTGTCTATTGTTTAATGAGGTTCCCAGTTCCCACTTTTTGTTCCTCTAAGCCTCTAAGGCTATGAAAGTTCTGCTCAGCTTCCCAGTGCTTCTTCTTGTCTCTGGTGAAAAACTGTTTCTGTGTCTTCTTGTTCCTCAGTTTTCTTCTCCCAGATTCTGGTCCTGTAACTAACTCTTCATTGCATTGCAACCAGATTAAAACATGGAGTCACGTTTATAGCTGTTGTCAGCAGCAGCGTCCATCTCTGTTAACCTACCCCATTTCCCCCAAAATAAGACAGTGTCTTATATAAATTTTTGCTCCCAAAGATGCGCTAGGTCTTATTTTTAGGGGTTGTCTTATTTTTCCAAGAAGAAGAATACGTACACATTTATTGTTAAATGAAAATAAAGGAAATTTATTACCTGTATACGGTATGGTAGTACGGCAGTTGTCAACACAAACCAGACAAACTATCAAGAATTTACTCATTTATTCAATGACAATCATGTCATCATCTTCTGGAACATCATCACAACAATCCAATTCCTGAATTTCCTGGTGAATTTATTGGGACTCCATTTCTTTCAGAATCAGTGGACCAAATCTCTCATGTTTAGCAATAGCACTGTCTTTAAATGAGTACTTCTTGTCAAGGTAACCTGCTCGCAATGCATTTGTAATGCAACTGTCAGTGATTTTCTCCCATGAATTCTTCCCCCAAGTCACAACTTCTTGCAGTTTAGGTTCCACAAAGTTTCCACGCTGACTTCTCTCCATTCTATTTTCCATGTAGTCATTAATTTCCATGCGCAAATTGTCTTTGAATGGCTTGCTTATTGCAATATCAAGAGTCTGGAGATAAGCCATCATTCCTGCGGGAATCATTATCTGATCTATTTTTCTTTCGTGAAGAAATGTCTTCATGTCTTTAGCGTGGTGAGTGCTGACTGCATCCCAGACTAGCAGACCTCTTTGGCTCCCTCGCATAACAAGCGGCAGCATTAAATCGACCCACTTCCTTATAACTGCTGTGTGGCCCAGGCTTTTGCAGTTTCAAGAATAAAAACGCCCAAAATACGTTCAATTTTTTCCTTTTTGCCCTTAGAAATGGTTAAAGGTGGCATTTTAGGGCCATCCAGATGAATTGCCAAAATACAGGAAACACGTGCACTTTCGTAAGCAGTGGAGGAAATGTACACTAAGGAGGCACCCCGCTGTTCAATTGTTGTTTGAGGTGATTGGCCCATAAACACTGCAGTTTCATCTATAGCGATCATGTTGGAAAGATTGTATTTAGAGAAGTCAGCATCATCAATAAAGGACTTGAATGCAAGTGCTCGCTTAATAACTTGAGTATCTTTCAACCTAAACAATGTTGTAGATCTTCTTAAAGACAATTCACTTCGCTGAAGGAAATTATCCAGCCAGTGTTGTGATGCTTTGAAGTCTTCGGGGGCTGTGTCAAACTGTGGTGCCATTGCAAGGGCAAATTCTTGAATCTGAGCCCTATTCACAACCAAAGCCTTTGCTCTCCTGTCAACAACCCATTCACAGATCAGGTCTTCCAGCTCAGAAAATAATGGTTGCTGACCTGATCCACACTTGCACTTTTTAGCATTTCCCTTGTCCACTTGTTCAATGAGATTACCATACTCTGCTCGCCATTTTCGGACCAATCAGATACTCAACATCTTCTCTTTGCAGAAAGCAGTAAGATTTTGGCCCCAAGAGTCTTCCATGATTCCTTTCTGGTACTCCACAGAGTAGCTTTTTCTTTTTGAACTAATTTCTAGGGTTAAAAAAAAAAGGGATTGGGGTATCAAGGTGGGGGGAGGGGGATCACTTAAAATGACACAGGGGGGATCAGAGGGGGGAATCAAAATGGCACAGGAGAATCAGAGGGGGGATTACCATTTTAGTAACCCCTTTTGATCCTCCTCTGTCATTTTGATTGCCCCTCTGATCCTCCTGTGTCATTTTAAGTGATCCCTTCCCCCACCCCCGTGCCACCGAACACCTTCCCCAGACATCCCCCGTACCCCTTTATCAGACATTTACCCCCTGGGGCCTGCCTGGGGACTGTCACTGGGCTTGCTAGGGCCTGGATCTGGGCTGGAGCAGAGTCTGCCACTGACTGGGAACCTTCAGTCATGATGAGGGGGGCCACGAGCATCAGGTAGTGTCACTAGAGACAGACCAGCACTCACCACCTTCTCCCTGTCCCATCCGCTCTAATCCTCCTGTTCTTCTACAAGCATCTGCGAAAGTCTCCTCCTCTCTCCAGCCCCATGCTCACTGCTCACTCCGACCTCTGCTCCGCCTCCACACAGCAGTGACGTCAGGACTCCGCGTAACGTCACTGGTTGCTAGACGCCAGTCAGGGCGGCCCTAGAGACCAGTTTACGGTAAATTAATTTTCATTCTGAGACAGAGCCTAGAGGGGGCCTTATTTTGGGGGATGCCTTATATTTCACTCAGAAGGAAACCTGTAAGTAGGTCTTATTTTAGGGGAAATACGGTATGTCCACCATCGTTTTGAAACTCCTCCTCTATTCTTGTTTCAATTAATTCCTAGCAATAACTTATTGGGCATATCTAGACACTTGTGTTTCCCCCTTCTCTTTACTTTTTAAATGGACATTCCAAGAATGGGTGGCGAGTGGGATAATTAGTGCATTCATCCGAGGAATCTAGAGTCAGGATTATTGACAGCTAAGATCACAACTGGTGTCAGAGAAAGGAACCATTGAGGGCAATCATTGTTCATGTAATACAGGTGTAACAGCCATGGGAAACTTCAGCTTGCTCCAACATAGTACCCTAGGTTTTCAAATAGGTTTGGGACTGACCTAGGACTGGTTAGGAAAGAAATAAGAAGATGCTTATTGCACTTCCCTCTCTCCTGCCACAGCTATAATATGTCCCCTGGAACCTTCACGAGCCACAGAGAGGCACATCTGACTTCTCCGGGAACCTGGATCTGGAGTACGTGCTGTTGCTGCTTCTGTGGCCGGGCCTGGGCCTGGGCCTGGGCCTGGGGGCAGGAAGGGCTGGCGGGGTTGACTAGGGACCATGGTGGCATCTCAGCTCTGCTTGTGGAGCCTGTTCTCAGGCCCCGGTGCCAGCTCTGCACCAGGACTAGGTGCTCGCCAGCTGGGAGCCTGCTACTCCCAGGTGCCCCGGCCTCCCCTGAGCCCAGCCCTCCTCACTGCAGCCCTTCCTGCTCTGCAGTGGGGTGCTGCCACTCGTGCTAGGAGGGCGGGCAGCAAGGTGGTCGGGTCAGGTTCATGGCAAGGACCCCGTCCCCTGTCTGACAACCCCCCTCCTCATGACCCGGTGGGCTGTGCAGAGGGTCCTGGGCTGGGAGCTGGTGAGAACCCAGCTGCAGGGCCTCAGGCCTGTGACCACAGGTGCAGGATGACCTGCTCTGCAGGGGTGGGGGCTCAGCCTTCCCTTCTCTCTCCCTGTCTCTGGTTGGGAGGAGGGTAGGCAGAGCCTGCAGTGTGTGCTGGCTTGTCCCCACCCCCCGCTCAGATGTCCTCAGAGTGGCCGCCACTGACCTTGCCAGGGCCTTTGTCCGGCTGGCCATGGAGGTTGGGCTGTGGGTGATCCTGCGTCCAGGCCCCTGCATCTGCAGCGAGATCGACCTTGGCGGCCTGCGCAGGTGAGCGGGCTGTGGGTGGAGGGCTGTGACAGTTTGTTTCACTAAAAGCAGAGCTGGAATCTGCCAGCACGGAGCCCGTGTTCTCCGGGAAGGCCTGCGGTGGCCCGGTGAGCTCCGGGCGCCGCTGTCACCCTTGTCCTGGTCACAGATGCGGGTCCTGGTGTCGTGGGCGCCTGGGTGGGGAGAGGCGGCATCGGGGTGGTCTCCTTCCTTCCTGTCCCTGAGGTGGAAGGGGGTGCTGACAACCTCTGGACTTGCTCTGACCCCCCCACCCCCCAACCCCCCAGCTTTTCTCTTATTTTGTTAATGGAAGACCATGCGCTCCACTGAGCCGAGGGACCTCAGCTCTCCTCCGTTCCCCCTCACTTCCCTTTGCCTTCTCTCCGACAGCTGGGTGCAGGGTGAGCACCCAGGCACATGCTCCCGCTCACACCACAGCTGCCAGTGTGTGCAGTCCCCGGCTCAGCTCCAGGGGGCGCTCTCCTCCCGTGGCTCAGTCAAGGCTCTGTTCCTCCGGATGAGCGTGTTCTCCCATTCAGCTCAGGAGCCACAGAGGCCTGACCCTGAGGGAAGGGCATGCCCTGCTCTGCTCAGCTGGAGGCCCCGCCCCACCCCTCCCCGCTGAGGGCCTTGACGGAGCTGTGGCACCTCCTAAGCTGCAAACGGTCACCCCAACACTTGTCAGTCGGACAGCACAGTAGGATCTTCCAGAGAGCATCTTCCAGGCCACTTGAGGGCTGCAGGAGATCAGAAGACATAAAGCTGGGCTGGAGGGAGCTCTGGAAGCAGCTGGTGACCTGCAGGGCCTGGCCTGTCCCCTCCTGCTTCCTGCCTTCCTGTCTCAAGCACTGAGCTTGTCTCCTTTCGCCCCCAGCTGGTTACTGCAGGACCCGGAGCTGAGACTGAGGACAGCTGACCAGGGCTTTGTCCAAGCGGTTGATGGGTACTTTGATCATCCGATTACCAGAGTGCTTCCTCTCCAGGTAAAACAGCCTTCTGACATGTCCTTCCTGAAGTGAGAGGCACAGAGACAGCTGGTTCTACGTAGCCACAGAGCAGGCTGGCCCAGGCTCTGGGAGCCGAAGCTGACACCCTTGCAGATGGTCTTGCACTCTAGACCCTCATCTAAGTTCACCTTCACCCCTGGCTTCTGGGAGCACAAGCATCACACCGGCCAGGACCCACAGAGCAGAGGGCGTGGGTGTATGATGGCACTTTCTCTAGGCTCACTGCTCTTTCTACTGCTTATTTCTACTCCTAAGTGAACTTGGCTGTTTTATTTTTATTTAAAAAATATTTTTATTGATTTTTTTTACATGGAGAAAGGGAGAGGGATAGAGAGTTAGAAACATCAATGAGAGAGAAACATCGATCAGCTGCCTCCTGCACGCCCCCTATTGGGGCTGTGCCCACAACCAAGGTACATGCTCTTGATTGAAATTGAACCTGAGACCCTTCAGTCCACAGGCTGATGCTCTATCCACTGAGCCAAACCGGTCAGAGCAATCTTGGCTGTTTTAAACAGTCACTACACACATATGGCGAAAAGGCTCAAAGCGTACAAAGAAGATTATGGTACATAATCCCCTCTTCTCCTTTCCCAGAGCGATTGTTACCTTTTCAGGAGACAGACAACCAATTGCACCAGACTTTTGTGTGCCTTTCCATAGATTTCCTACACACATGGAGGCAAATTATTTATGCACACACACATGCATATGTGTGCATGTGTTCTTTTTAAAAAATATATTTTTATTGATTTCAGAAGGAAGGGAGAGGGAGAGAGAGAGAGAAAGAAACATCAATGATGAGAGAGAACCATTGATTGGCTGCCTCTTGCATGCCCCCTACTGGGGATGGAGCCTACAACCCGGGCAAGTGCCTTTGACTGGAATCAAACCCAGGACCCTTCAGTCTGCAGGCCAACGCTCTATCCACTGTATACTTTTTTATACGAAAATGTACAATTCTCACTGGACATTTTCCTTTTGAACTTGAAAATGTATATTTAAAATCTGCCATACTTAAAAAAAAAAAAAAAATATATATATATATATATATATATATATATATATATTCCCCCCCCTCTCCAAATATATATATTTATGGATTCAGAGAGGAAGAGGGAGGGACAGAGAAGCATCAATGATGAGAATCATTGATTGGCTGCTTCCTGCACACCGCCTACTAGGGATGGAGCCTGCAACCCGGGCATGTGCCCTGACCTGGAATGACACCGTGACCTCCTGTGCAACCATTGAGCCTTGCTGATCAGGGTCACCCCAATTTCTCAAAGTGTTATTTTTAAAGCGAAGGCTGCACAGGTCACATGTGAATGAGCACAGGTTGTGACTTAGTGGAGTGTTAGGAGGTTAGTGTCCTTTGCAGCCTGGTCAGGATGAAGCCTTCGGTGTGTGTTGAGAGCATGCATGTTTGTGTGTGGTGAGTGCTGAGCTGGAGTTGGGGCTAAAATAAATATATATTTAATTGGTTTTAGAGAGGAAGGGCGAGTGGATGGGGGGAGTGTTAGCAGGTGAGAGTGTAGCTATGAGCTCTCATATTGAAGCAGCTAATTAGTGTGAGAAGGAGCAGAAACACTGAGGGTGTGGTGACAAAAGACTAGGGCACCGGGACTCCTTGTGCCGCTGAAGGGCCTGCAGGTGACTGAGCATCAGATGGGAGAGGAGAGAGCGTGCCTCCATGTCAGGAAACAGCTAGGAGCCGAGTGCCCACACCAGCGGGGTCAGGGTTCCCAGCCTCCCCAATACCCCGGGTTTCCCACCCGCAGCCTCACTTCCCCTTTCTCTGCTGCCTCAGAACTGCCAGGAGGCCCCGTCATCACGGTGCAGGTGGAGAACGAGTACGGTGCGTTCGCCAAGGACTGGACATGCCTTCCTTCACCAGGCGAGAACCGGCTGCTCTCCGTGCTCCTGCTTCCTTCCTTGGCTGCCTCTGAGTCGGCTACGGGCCCTGGTAGGCTCTGCGGGTGTCCCACGGGGGAAGGAAAAGGGGGTTCACTCTGTTTTCTCAACAGGCCCTGCTGAGCAGAGGAATTATGGAGCTGCTCTTGACCTCAGACGCGGAGAAAGATGTGCTCGAAGGCAGCATAGAAGGAGGTACGCACTTCAGCTTATTTTCAGGGAGCATGGAAGCACTTCACCCCCAGTTTCAATTTTGAACAAGCGTCAGAAAGAACCATGCCAAAACTGGTTTGGCTCAGTGGATAGAGCGTCGGCCTGCGGACTCAAGGGTTCCAGGTTCCATTCCAGTCAAGGGCATGTGCTATGGTTGTGGGCACATCCCCAGTAGGGGGCATGCAAGAGGCAGCTGATTGATGACTCTCTCTCATCGATGTTTCTAACTCTCTATTTCTCTCCCTTACTCTCTGTAAAAAATCAATTAAAAATATTAAAAAAAAAAGAAAGAACCAAGAATATCTATCTATATCTATATCTATATCTATATCTATATCTATATCTATGTCTATGTCTATGTCTATGTCTATGTCTATGTCTATGTCTATGTCTACGTCTACGTCTACGTCTACGTCTACGTCTACGTCTATATCTATATCTATATCTATATCTATATCTATATCTATATCTATATCTATATCTATCTGCCTAGATAGATATAGATAAAGATATAGATAGATATAGAAATTGTTTTTTTACAGAGTGGAAGGGAAAGGGATAGAGTTAGAAACATCGATGAGAGAGAAACATTGATCAGCCGCCTTCTGCACACCCCCTACTGGGGATGTGCCCTCAACCAAGATACATGCCCTTGACCGGAATCGAACCTGGGACCTTTCAGTCCACAGGCCAATGCTCTATCCACTGAGCCAAACCATTTAGGGCTAGAATCAAGAACATCTCTGAGGCCTCTCTTTGCCATGCATGTTGAAGTGGACCCTGGAGAGGTGGTATCGCTCTGAGAACCCAAGGTCAAAGCGAAGAGTTCCCATAACAACACCATCCTTCTCCTCCATCCTGTTTTCCTTTGACAACAGCTGCGAGGGAGCTCTTCTGTCCGCAGCCCACCTTTCCATATTTATTTATTAGTACTTAAAATTATCGGGGTGACATTGATTCACAGAACCACACAGGTTTCAAGGGCACAACTCAACAAAGCACGCTGAATAGTGTGCCCATCACCCCAAGTAAAGTCTCTTGCCGTCCCCATTTTCTCCCTTTGCCCACCTCCTCTTACCTCCAGGTCTAATTCCTCGGCCTAATCAATTTGTGTGACCTTGGCCTGTTCTGTTTCTCTGCACAAAATATAATTAATTTTAACTGTCCTTGCAAATGCCCAATGACAGCCCTTTGCACGTTACAACATGGGTACAAGTAGCATCTCATTACCTCACTACTCAGCACAACTTTCTTCCGTGTGCAAGACATGGGCCTCTGTCCCTCCCCTGGCAGCAGTTGTCCCAGGGCCTCCTGCAGCTTCTCTCCCTTCTTTCTACAGTGCTGGCCACCATCAATATAAACTCATTTCAGAAGAATACTTTTATGCACCTTGAGACAGTGCAGGTAAGGATGTCTTAGAGAGGAAGAGTCATAGCCCCTTCGTCTGCCATGAACCTCACGCCTCCACTGCAAGCTGTACAGCTGGTGTTTGATGAAGATAGGAGGCTTGACAAAGACCATACAGCTTTTCCCCTGAGGCCTCACCTAGGTTCCAAAGCATTTTAGGGAGTTTATCTGTTTCATCGGGGGGAATAAGGAGGACATTCTGCTTCTGTCCCCTCTGTTCATGGAGCACCTAATGGAGATGACCAAAGGAAGGGGTTAGTTGTGATTTTGATGTGGCCCAGGGAGGGGGAGAGTGGAACTCCCTCTTACACGCCATCTTGGATTCTTCTGGATGATGTCCTTAATGGACAGTATAGTTCAGTGGCTGCTCATTTGGCTCAGCCCTGGACTTGAGTGGAGTCTCTGGACCTTACCAGCACGTGACCTTGGAGCTTCAGTTTCCACATGAGGAATTGCAGTCGGGTCTTTGTGGTTCCAAAGTTGTTTCTGCCCAGGCCAGCTTCGCGTAGGACCAGGTTGGGAATTACAGAAGGCGATCGTGATGTTTAGGGAAACGGAGGAGCAAGAGGTGTCACGGGCTGACTTGGAAAAAAGTGAGAAGCCCAAGTTCCTCCGACTCTCGTCCGTTGCATTCAGTGTTTCTGACTCTTTTTCTTCTTCTTTTTGTCTGACTTGGTGTTTCATTTGGTTTGCTTCCAGATAGATAAGCCCATTATGATTATGGAATACTGGGTCGTCTGGTTCGACACATGGGGAGGTAAACACAAGGCTGAAAATGTGGACAGTAAGTGTTTCTCAGCGTTTGGGCTGAGCAGAGGTGCCCCGGGTCATAGGTCATTCACACCCTGCTCTGCTAATACATCCGCTCATTCAACCACGACTGTCCATCAACGCATGGTTGGGACGGGGGCGTGGCTAGGCCTGGCGGTGCCCTGGTGAAAAAAAATTAACTGGTTTCTACCCCAGGGAGCTTGTGCTCTGGTGGAGCTGACAGATACGTAAGAAGTAAAACACTCACTCCCTGACAAGTACTGAGGCAAAGAGGAGGCAGGGATAGGAGAGAGGGGGACCACAGAGGGGCATACAGGGGTGATGGAGGGTCTCTGAGATAGGACACCTCTGAAGAAGGGGATGCATTTACCAACATTATTTTTTAAAAATGTATTTTTATTGGTCTCAGAATGGAAGGGAGAGGGAGAGAGAAAGAGAACTGATGAAAGAGAATCATTGATCAGCTACCTCCTGCTCACCCCTTACTGAGGATTGAGCCCGCAACCTGGGTGTGTGCCTCTGACCAGAATCGAACCCGGGATCCTTCAGTCTGTAGTCCAGCGCTCTAGCCACTGAGCCAAACGAGCTAGGGCCATTTGCCAAAATTTTTTTTGTTGTTGTTGTTAAATATATTTTATTGCTTTTTTATAGAGAGGAAAAGAGAGGGATAGAGAGTTAGAAACATTGATGAAAGAGAATCATCCATCAGCTGCCTCTTGCACACCCCGCACCGGGGAAGTGCCCGCAACCAAGGTACATGCCCCCCACTGGAATCAAATCTGGGACCTTTCAGTTTGTAGGCCAACGCTCTAGCCACTGAGCCAAATGAGCTAGGGCCATTTGCCAACATTCTTAGTCATCTCTGTGAAGTTCGCAGGCCATAGCTGGGGAGTTGGCACATGCGTGGCAGTCATTATCAGAAGCTGGCAGTGATGGTTGAGAGGGTAGATCCTGGGACGCTAGGCTGTGCAGAACCAATGCCAATCCAGCTAGGAGTGTTTCCCATTGCCCTTCCTCGGACTCTGAGGCTGCTGAGACCCTGGGCTCATCCTCCGCTTCACTCTCCTCTTCCTTCCATCCTAATTGCCCAGCTGTGCTATCGATGCCCTTCTAGCAATCACCATTTGTTTTGTTGTTATTGTTGTTTTGTGTGTGTGTGTGTGTGTGTGTGTGTGTGTGTGTGTTTGCTTTTTTTTTTTTTTTTTTTTTTTTTTTTTTTTTTTTTAGAGAGGAAAGGAGAGGGTTAGAGTCAGAAACATCTATCAGCTGCCTCCTGCACAACTCCTACTGGGGATGTGCCCACAACTAAGGTACATGCCCTTGATCAGAATTGAACCTGGGACCCTTCAGTCTGCAGACCGATACTCTATCCACTGAGCCACACCGGTTAGGGCTAGCTATCACCATTTGTAATCTCTCTCTCTCTCTCTCTCTCTCTCTCTCTCTCTCTCTCTCTCTCTCTCTCTCTCTCAGTTCAAGTCAAAGGGTCAATGTACATGAACTTTAGGTCCTGGGCAGCCCCATCTACTGCAATGATAGCCTGTTGGGGGCATTATGAACATCACAGAAGAAAGATACGTAGATCAGAAAATCCTCAATGCTCAGCATGGATTATGGGTCAAGAACTCAGGGATGCCAGAATATGTTTTCGGAGCCTCCAGCAACCCCACTGCCGGAGGGGGACCAAACCAGTGATCACTTGCCATAGCTGGTAACTATGCTGCTGTACTCCCCCAAATCCGTGGCCCTGTTGATGAACCCGAAGTTGGTTCCCCCGTGGAACATATATGTGTTGAAAGAGATCTCAGATTTGATAAATTCAGACTCGGTCTTTACAACAGCTGTAGAGGCAAAATATAAGGAAGGAGAGAAAAATTGAAAGCTGTGGATTTGAAAAGATGAATGCACCTCCTATGTTCATGGCAGCATTTTTACCACAGCCAAGTCATGGAACCTGAGAATGTTCATCTGTAGACAATTGAAGAGAGAACAGGTAGTACATATATACCTGGAATGTTCCTCCACCATGAAAAAGAATGAAATCTTACCACTTGCAACAACATGGGTGGAGCTAGAGGGTGTTATGAAATCAGACAGAGAAAGGCAAATACCATATGATTTCCCTTCAGTCGGGAGGGAAGGAGGCTGCCTTGGTCATGGGACTCATGCTGAGAGCTGAATCCCAGTGTTTGATTCTCTTTTGTCCAGTGATTCAAGCTCACCTACTTATAGGTTAGAGTAGCAGATAGCTAACAGATGTGAGTATGCAACACACTCAGTTTTTTTTTTTTAAATAAATACTTTATATACATCAATGGCAGGATATATAATAGTATATGAAGGGTATCATATAATGTGGGAAATAATAGAAATAGAAAATGCATATTATACAAGTCTACAAAACCGCTATTATTCATTGAAAAGTAGTGCTAAACTGTAAAATATAGTTGGGATACAAAGATATATAGCTTTTCTTTTATAAAATATTTTTTTTATTGATTTTGTACAGAGAGGTAGGGAGAGATAGAGAGTTAGAAACATCGATGAGAGAGTCATCGATCAGCTGCCTCTTGCACACCCCCTACTGGGGATATGCCCGCAACTAAGGTACATGTCCTTGACCGGAATGAACCCGGACCCTTCAGTCTCCAAGCCGACGCTCTACCCATTGAGTCAAACCGGTTTTGGCAGATATATAGCTTTTCAATTTCAGAGCAGAGTGTAGCAAGGTAAATGTACAATGGAGGTAAGTCTGCTAAGGAAAGCAGGAAGCCAATAGCAAGACATTGCAAGAAAGACAAGCAATGCAGTGCAAAATAACTTTAAATTTCACATATTAGTTAGAGAACAAGTAAAAACGACTTTCAATGGCAGGATATAGTGTAGAAAGGGTTTCATATAATGCAGAAAATCTGTAAAATAGAGCAAATACATATTAATCCACTCTTTCAAACCTCTATTATTCACTGAAAAGTAGCATTAAACTATATAAAACATAATTGGGAGACAATGTGCATAGCTTCTCAAGTACAGATAAGAGTGTAGAAAGAGCTGAAACAGGTTTGGCTCAGTGGATAGAGTGTCGGCCTGCGGACTGAAAGGTCCCGGGTTCGATTTTGGTCAAGGGCATGTACCTTGGTTGCGGGCACATCCCCAGTAGGGGGTGTGCAAGAGGCAGCTGATCGATGATTCTCTCTCATTGATGTTTCTAACTCTCTATCTTCCTCTCTGTAAAAAAATCAATAAAATATATTTTTAAAAAAAGAGTGTAGAAAGATGTTCATACAATGTGGGGAAGTCCCATGAGTAGAGAAGAAGGCCAATTATAGGACACTGCAAGAAACCACTAATAATTCAAAGGATATATCAGTGAGAAGGACAGAATTGTTAGAGAACAAGTGATAGAAACATCTCAATGTCAGTATATAGTATAGAAATGGTTTTATACACTGCAGAATATCCTTGAAATAGAGGAAATTCACATTAAACGAGTCTTTAAAACCACTAGAATTCACTGACAAGTAGCACTAAACTGTAAAACACAGTTAAACAGAAAATGAATATAGACTCTCAAGTTCAGAGAAGAGTGTAGAAAGGTGTATGTACATTGTGGGGAATTCCTATAAGTAGATCAGACCAATTATAGGACACTGCAAGAAACCTTTAATAATTCAGAGGAAATATCAGTAAAAAGGACAGAATTGTCAAAGAACTAGTGGAAAAAAGGTCTCAAAGTCATTATATAGTATAGAAAGCGTTTTGTATACTGCAGAATATCTTTGAAATAGAGTAAATGCACATTAAACCAATCTTTGAAACCAATAGAATGCACTGACCAGTAGCATTAAACAGTAAAACATAGTGGGAGACAAGTGTATATAGCTTCTCAACTTCACAGCCGAGTGTAGAAAGGAGTTTGTACAATGGGGGTAAGTCTGGTAAAGAAAGAAGAAAGCCAATTGCAGGACATTGCAAGATAACAATAGGAATTGAGTGCAATATAGCAGTAAATTAGACACAATAGTTAGAGTACAAGTGGAAAAGACTTCTCAATGTCAGGATATAGTGTAGATTATATCATATATATATGATTTTATACAGTGCAGAATATCCTTGAAATAGAGCAAATACATATTAAAACTGTCTTTAAAACAACTAGAATTCATTGAAAAGTAGCATTAAACTCTAATGAATAGCTGAGATGCAAAGTACATAGTCTCTCAAGTTTAGAGAAGAGTGTAGAAAGGTGATCATACAAGATGAGGAAGTTCCATTCGTAGAGCATTAGGCCAATTATAGGACACTGCAGAAAACCAATAATAATTCAGAGGAAATATCAGTAAAAAGGACAGAATTGTCAGACAACCAATGGCAAAAGAATCTCAAAGTCAGTATATAGTATACAAATTGTTTGCACAATGCAGGATATCCTTGAAATAGAGCAAATGCACCTTAAGCCAGTCTTTGAAACCACTAGAATGCTCTGAAAACTAGCATTAAACTGTAAAACATAATTGGGAGACAATGTATAAAGCTTCTCAAGTACACAGGAGTGTAAAAAGTTGTTCATACAATGTTGGGAAATCCCATGAGAAGAGCAGAAGGCCAATTATAGGACACTGCAAGAAACCACTAATAACTCAGAGGAAATATCAGTAAAAAGGATAGAATTGTCAAAGAACCGGTGGAAAAAACATCTCAATGTCAGTAAATTATATACGAATGGTTTTTACAATGCGGAATATCCTTGACATAGAGCCAACAGACATTAAACCAATCTTCGAAACCACTAGAATGCATTGACAAGTAGCATTATACTGTAAAATGTAGTGGGAAGGAAAGTGAATATAGCCTCTCAAATTCAGAAAAAAGTGTCAAAAGGTGTTTGTACATTGTGGGGAAGTCACATGAGTATAGAAGAAGTCTAATTATAGGACACTGCAAGAAACTACAAATAATTCAGAGGAAATGTCAGTAAAAAGGACATAATTGTCAAAGAACTGGTGGAAAAAAACATCTCAATGTCAGTATATAGTAAAGAAAGTGTATTATACAATACATTGCAGAATAACTTTGAAATAAAGAAAATGCACATTAAACCTCTCTTTGAAACCACTTGATTGCTCTGAAAACTAGCATTAAACTGTAAAACATACGGGGGGACAAGAGTATATAGCTTCTTATTGGCACAGAGGGAAGTCTGAGGCCCGGGGACGCTCTGGTACCTCACCTGAACATCTTGGTTGGGAATATTTGTTAGGGTGACGCATAGAGATCTAGTCCCTTGATACAACTGTGTTCCAGGTTTGTGGCCTGGACCCCGGGTGGGCCAATTAGGCCCCACCATGAAGGCCTGGGATCCGGATGTAGGTATGACTGAGCTCCATATGTAGGGCTTGGTGCTCACGCATGGTGTGTCCACTAGGGGGCGCTGTGGACCGAGGTGGGAGGTTTGGGGCAAGGGCAGGACCTTGGGATGATGAAATGGTGGTCAGGACTAGCTTGGTTATTTTGACTCCATTTAAGGAATAGTCCCTGGCTTCTAGTATGGTTCTCCGAAATGGCCTTCTGGTCCTGGCCATAATGGTCTGCGACCAGGAGGTAGGACTTGGCCCAGGATGGAGGTCTGGGTGTTGGGATGGCCTTTACAAACAGGGACTTCTGGGCCCCTGGGGGGCGGTCTGGTACTTCACTTGTGCATCTGGGTTATGGTAATGGTGGTCTGGGTTAGAAATTGAGAAATACACCTAGGATACAAGTCTGGATTCTGTGTTTGAGGCCTGGGCCCAGGTATAAATTTCTCAGCCTCGCCATGATAGTCTGAGTCCCCGATGTAGGTGTGAGCCCCAGGTGGAGGTCTGGGTCCTGTGAGGGCATTTTGAGCCCAAAGGGAAGTCTGAGTCCCGGGGACACTCTGGTACCTCACCTGAATATCTTGGTTAAGGAATAGCTGTTGGAGTAACGCATAGAGATCTAGTCACCTGATATAACTCTGTGTTTCAGGTTTGTGGCCTGGGTAGCAGGTGGGCCTTTTAGGGCCCGCCATTGATGTCTGGGACCCGGATGTAGGTCTGAGCCCTGGATGTAAGTCTGGGTGCTCAGGCATGGGGTGGC